TAGATGAAATGAGAAATCTTGGCATGCAAGTGCACAGGTCCGTAAAGGTAGCAGTACAAGTATATAAGATTGTAAAAAAGGCATATGGAATGCTCCATTTCATTGGCAGAGGTATAGAATACAAAAGTAGGAATATAATGATAAAACTGCATAAGGCACTGGTGAGGCCACTGGAGTATTGTGTGCAGTTCTGGTCACCACATTTACAAGAAGGATATAATTGGTCTGGAGAGTGTAGAGAAGATTTACTAGAATGTTGCCAGGACTGGAGAATTGCAGGAATGAGGAAAGATTGGAGAGGTGGTGATGTTTTCCTTGGAACAGAGAAGGCTGAGGGGTGACATGATTGAGGTATACAAAATTGTGAGGGGTAGAGTCATAGAGCTGTACAGCATGAAAAGACCTTCAATTCAACTAGTTGGTGTTGACCAGATATCCTAAATTAATCTAGTCTCATTTGCCAGCATTTGGACCATATCCCTCTAAACATTAACTTATTCACGTACCCATCCAGATACCTTTTAAACATTGTAATTGTATAACCTCCATCACTTCCTCTGGCAATTCATTCCATACACACACCACCCTCTGCATGAAAAAGTTGTCCCCTTAGGTCCCTTTTAAACATTTACCCTCTCACTTTAAACCTATGCCCTCTGGTTTTGAACTCCCCCACTCTGGGGAAAGGACATGGCTATTCACCCTATCCATGCCCCTCATGATTTTATAAACCTTCATAAGGTCACCCCTCAGCCTCTGACGCTCCAGGAAAAATAGCCCCAGCCTATTCAGCCTCTATAGCTCAAACCCTCCAACTCTGGCAACATCCTTGTAAATCTTTTCTGAACCCTTTCAAGTTTCACACATCCTTTAGGAGCAAATTACTGCAGATACTGGAATCTGTACTGAAAACAACAAATGCTGGAGATCTTGGCTGGTCAGACAGCATCCATGGAGAGAGAGCAATTTAACATTAAGTCTCGATGACTCTTCATCAGAGCTGAGGTGAGGTGTGGAGGGGACAGTATTCATGCCGTGGTTTGAGTGGGTGTGGGGGTAGTGGGTGTAGGGTGCTGGTGGAGAAAAGATGCTGATAGTTCAGATTAAGTGATTGGAATGTGAGAATGGCAGTACAATGGTGTTCTGACATTCACATTCTGATCACTTAATCTGGAAAGATATTTATTTCATGGTAATCTATCTACTGTAAACTTGGTGTCACATTCAGCTGAGTACAGCATTGACACAGGCCTGCAGTTAGCGGAGAATGAAATGGGACTGCTGGAGAACAGACCCCTGCTAAACACAACAGATTGTCACAAGAAATGTCCAGAGTTGGTACTTGTTTCTGACAGGATTTTATTTGGGTAGATTGGCTGCCATCAATTCTTGTAATATTGGTCTATAGGATTTACTACTAGTGAATGGTGAAGGATTAACCTTTTATTATCTTTATCACACAAGAAGTTCTTCTTGTTACTCAAATACATACCTCTTCTACCAAAGACTCATTAGTTACATTACCTTTAGCTCTGGACTCTGCCGTTAATGACTTGATGAAGATACAGACAAACAGTGTAACACTAGATAAAGATAATAATTGTGTGCAGGCAGGTGAGAAGGCAGAGGAGTCTGCCCAAGTTATGTCTCATTTCATTGCTCCAGCATTTGAGGATATGACTGCCTCCATGAGTAATGTGGCAGCCACCATGAAGAACTAACTACAGAGGAACTGTCAGCTCCTTAGACGTAGGTTAAGGCTGGATATGGGTAACTGGATGGGAGTGATATTAGGGCGAAGGGAAGGAATATTGAAAAAGATAGTGAAATCGTCAGGTGATATTGAAGAAGGACAAAGGGGGCACCACAGGAAAGGAGAAGGCAGTGTTGGGGCGTGGGGAGGTGGAAATAAGGAGGGTGAGAATGAAGGGAGGACTTGAAGGAACAGCTGACAACCACCACAGTTTTAAAAATTATTTTCAAAAGTTAAACCTGCCAGAGAATGAGCAGCAGAAGCAGAAGGAGCCTCAGATCTGTTTCCATGTGATCCAGCACAACACAAACACATCCAACTGAAGGAATCAAAGTGTGAGCCCTTGGTTATAAATCTGCAGCTCCCATCCTTCCATGTCCCTGTTGCTCCAACACCAACTCTTCCCCCACATCCCAGACTGCCCTCTCCATTCACCAGGATTCTTAGTGCCACAACAACCATGCCCATTTCAAGTTTCATTCCTTTCCAATGAGCCCACCTTCCTGTTAATCCATCTTTTATTTTCTTATTTAACCTATTTTTCTAATCAACCTGTTCAGAGATGTTATTACACACCTCTGGAGCAGGTGGGACTTGAACCTTAGTGTCCCTACCACCAGATCAGGAGACCATCAGTGTGCCAGAAGAGGACCCCTTGATTTCTCTTTTAGTTTATGCTCTCGTTTAAGTCTTACTTGCCTGCTCCAGTTAGGTTTGGTGGAATCAGTGTAGCTGACAGATTTGGGGAGGCTAGGGAGTATTTAACCGCAAAACAGAGAACTACTTATCAATGAGACTTCTCATGACTATTAAACAAGGGGCTACAACCTTTATGCTGCAGGTGTTTAACGACAAGAAAACAATCTCCATGCCATTGAGACTTCTCATAAGCTGGATGACCCAGTCAGGCTTCACCCCTTAAATTTTAAGCATTTGCACAAGGTGTAAAGCTTGATTTTGAAGGAGCTGGATGGAAGCCAGGTTAACATCTTGTATAGTTAGTTTGGTGAACACATGCTTCTCTTTTCTCATCTAATAAGATTGTGCCTACGAACATAATTCCAAAAGGCTGGAGTGTTACTGAATACACAAATGCTAAAGAATGCAAAACAGATGGGAAACTCAAACCATCCTGAAATGTTCTGAGAACTTAGTAGCAAAACTTAACCTACCATCAGGAATCTGCATTTTTGCCTCCTGCCCAATTAAATTTCCCTGCCCCATTCTTAAAGCTCTGGGCAGGCTCAGAAAATATAATTACTGCAGTTTGTATTGCAGAAAACTACTGAAAAGATTCGGAAGGAGGAACACAAGTTATGAGTTCAATGGACTACTGATAGCATCTTCCCTGAGCCAATCATGCTCATGATACTGCATGGCATTGAGGGCACAGGGATAAGGATAGATCAAGAGAGTGAAAAAGAGACAGGATTTGGTAATATCTATCCTTTAAGCATTCTGCTTTGTTATTGTGGGTAACTAATGGCACTTAATCATTAGTTACTGATACCATGATGTTGGTTGTCTAATTAAACTAACCTAGCCATGTATGATGGTCCTTTTTATCTTGTACTGAATGTCCAATCTCTATTATAAATCCTGATGGATGCAAAGCATCAATCATTCCCCTTTCAATAACGTGTCAGTTGTCAGGAAAATGGTCTGGGCGGCTCTAGCAGTACATGCTTAATTTTTTTTTCTGCACCAGTACCAGCATATATTTTCTGATGACATGTTTCCTGGTGGGTTTGACTGAAATTTGGATTTTAAAAGTATTTTATATATGCAAGACCTTTATATACATCATGAAAACATAATCAAGATGAGAAAAACACTTTAATTGAGTAGCCAACTGAAAACAATGGCACAAGCTCAAAGATCCAAAATAATATTCAAATCTATTAATACCATGAAAAAATATACATACAGTATAGTTAGAAAGAACAATCTACACTCGGCATTTTAAAATTATGCTTGCATGTTAAATATAGTTAACTACTTTAAACATAATCAATGAAAACTTGCACTTTCTTTAAAAAAAATAATTTACTGCTTGGTGAAATTTGAGTTGAAAGCATGTTGCATAACCAGTTTAGTTATAATAGAGGACAGTTTCCACTCAACTGCACAAACATTAATTTACCTTTACCTTTTTACATGAAATATTGATCAAATTAGCAATAATAAAATAAAGATATGCTGTTTAAATACAGAAAAAATGGTCCAGAACTTGTTTTATTTTCTGAAAATTATACAATAGAGAATATCTGAAACTCGAGTATTAGGAATTCACAATAGAGCTTGACTACTTGTTACACTGTCAACAGAGCTATCAAGCCCTTTTAAACCCTGAAGCATGAGCAAGTTGCTTAACAAACGTTTTGATTAAATAATTGCAGTTTCTCCATCCAAATTACATCAACTTTCCTACAGCTGCAAAATGCTTATTTACACTCAGCATTACAATAATTTACAAAATGGGATTGTGAAATTTTTAAAAATTTATTTTGCTTTATTGTTTTTCCTAGACTGTTCTGCTTTTTTTGTGACATACATAAAGGATCTGGAAGAAGGTACAGATGGTCTGATTAGCAAGTTTGCAAATGACACTAAGATTGGTGGAGTAGCAGATAGTGAAGGGGACTGTCGGAGAAAGCAGCAGAATATAGATAGATTGGAGAGTTGGGCGGAGAAATGGCAGATGGAGTTCAATCCAGGCAAATGCGAGGTGATGCATTTTGGAAGATCCAGTTCAAGAGCGAACTATACGTTAAATGGAAAAGCCCTGGGGAAAATTGATGCATAGAGAGATCTGGGTGTACAGGTCCATTGTACCCTGAGGGTGGCAACGCAGGTCGATAGAGTGGTCAAGAAGGCATACGGCATGCTTTCATTCATCGGACGGGGTACTGAGTAAGAGAGTTGTCAGGTCATGTTACAGTTGTATAGGACTTTGGTTCGACCACATTTGGAATATTGCGTATAGTTTTGGTCATCACGTTACCAAAAGGATGTGGATGCTTTGGAGAGGGTGCAGAGGAGGTGCACCAGGATGTTGCCTGGTATGGAAGGCCCTAGCAATGAAGAGAGGTTGAGCAGATTAGGATTATTTACATTAGAAAGACTGAGGTTGAGGGGGGATCTGATTGAGGGCTACAAAATCATGAGGGGTATAGACAGGGTGGATAGCAAGAAGCTTTTTCCCCCAGAGTGGGGGACTCGATTACTAGGGGTCACAATTTCAAAGGGAGAGGGGAAAAGTTTAAGGGAGATATGCGTGGAAAGTTCTTTATGCAGAGGGTGGTGGGTGCCTGGAACGCGTTGCCAGCGGAGGTGGTAGAGGCAGGCAACGATAGTGTTATTTAAGACATATCTAGACAGATACATGAATGGGCAGAGAGCAGAGGGATACAGATCCTTGGAAAATAGGCAAAAGGTTTAGATAGAGGATCTGGACTGGTGCAGGCTTGGAGGGCCGAAGGGCCTGTTCCTGTGCTGTAATCTTCTTTGTTTCTTGTTCTTTGCTCAAGAAGTAAGTGTTGAAATTTGGAATTTTCCCTATTTGTGTACCCAATATCTGAATCAAGTACTTTCTGGCCAAGTGTAGCACAGTTAGCAAGAGAATAAAGCTTCCTCCATTCTACCCCAACAGTACTCTACTGTCTCAAATTGTAAAAAAGTACATTCCCATTTTGAACCATGGGGTCTCTCAATGATACTGCCATTTTTGTGACAAGTTAAAGGCAATTCTTTGATGTGGTTCTATCTCCAATTTGAAGCAAATAAAACTAAGGAAGGATTGGATTAAAACAAAAGTGGTCTGGAAAATGAACCCCAGACAAGCTGGACCTGGGAAGGAAGAAAATGAGGTGGAGATTATCAGATGCAGTTAGGAGCTTTGTGAACACTGACTGAAAGCATACTTGAAGTCCTTGGTGTAATGTAACAGCAAAAATAGATGTTGCTGTGTGCAGAAAAAAGGTACTGGTACAATTGGACCAAATCTATGCTGGTGTCATTCTTCCACAGAAACTAACCAATCAAGCACTGAGCTGCAACATTCATTAATTGTAATAAACGGTCATTCTTCAACACATAACCACTTGTCTAATAAGCTGCAATGGAAAAGAAAATACTGAATTCATTTGAACTACATTGTATCCACTGCTTTACAATATACAATGCTCTGAATCAGTACATGTATCAAAATGGTGTAACACTTTGTTAACCACTTATGAACCAAAGTGTTTCTGAACACATCACTTTAAGCTGTCAAATTTCACACCACCTTAAAATATCACTTTTAAGTAATGTACACTTGTGCTATTTAATATGACAAGCTTATAAAATTCAAATCATATCTATGTTTTTCAGTGTTAATTTTCCTATGTTTACTGCTTTACTTACAAGTCACCATCACATGCACAACAGTCTCCTCAATATACTGATATCAAACTCTTCTGGTATGTAAAAAAATATTTTGATATGTTCAACAGTTTTTCTTTTTTTTACAAAATTGTGTCCTTTATGGTTATGGCGTCTTCAGAGCGCCACCTCTCAAGCAGCAACATTATGGCAATACACCACACAGGTCACTGGAAACATAACTGCAAGTGTACATTAAAAAAAAACAATGTAATACTATTAAAGTAGTTAAATAAAGTAAAAATCCCAATATACATCCATAGTCTATCAAAGAATATTGATGGAAAACCAGTATAGTCAAAAGAAGAAAGGTGCTTTGGTTTTAGATGTGTTGCTTATACCATGGATAGAAGGATGTCAGCCAACTTAACTATGGAAGACTTGCTGGGTGTTATCTTTTGAAGCTGCTTCCATCCACATATTAGCTGAAATGGATTTGCATGCGAGAAGGTCCCTTCTTGTCCGAGACTGTTCGATGATAAGGAGTAGTTCATCGACAGAATCAGGAGAAGTTTTTGGTGTGGACAGACACTTTTTCCGGAAAAATAAAGTGAAGAATATAGCAGGAGAAGGGTGGTTTAATATTGTGATGCTGAACCATACTGATTTCTGTAGTGTATAAATGTTGCTCATTCATCTTCATCTAACTCCACTACCTCAGACGTTTCCTCAGGGTTTACTGCAGAATTCATGGCCGAGTCCTCTCCCTCAGCTGCTAGTTCATCCAGAGATCTTCTATTTTTCTGTATAAAAACATAATTTTTGCAGCATAGATTATATTTTGGCAATTTGATACCAATCATTAGATTCCATTTGTACTTGTTTCACCTCTGCCTTGGGTAAAATTAGGCTCCGCCAAAGATTTTATTGTACTTTATTCTTCTTTATAGTTTTATTGATGATGTCCAGGCTCGATCCTCTCCTATTCAATTGAAAATATGGAGAGGTAGCTGGCAAGCTGTTACACTGGAACAGGGAAGATCAGAAAATCAGCACATGAAGAATTGAGGTGCCCGAGCTGCATCTTAAATCACTGTGCCACAGGAAACTACAGTCCTGATGGCCTGTGCCTGTTCACTGGAAATTGCACAGCTTGTCTGTCAGCAGCATCACTCAGCTTTCATAATTGAACTAACCAATTAACTCTGAGATAGTTACTAAATTCTGTTTGCAGTTCAATCTTCCAAGCATTAATCCACAGGTACTACAAGCCTGCCATACAGTAACTGCATACATTTGTTCATCTATGTTTGACTACTTTCCTGAACTACATTGTGAATGCTGATTTTGCACAAACTTGTTGCTTATAATTTGCGCCTTCTCTGTTTTGGTGTCAAGAGAATAGGCCTAGATTCACAGACCTCAGCTACAGCATTAATTTTCATCTCCTTGGTATGGTTTTTAGTCCCTCAGATTCAATCAGGACTGGTTGAAATTGGAACAGGAGCAGTTGTGCTCTGTGCCTTTCCATACACAGCCTTGCCCCCAAATTAGGTGTAACACCCAGTATTTTGCTACTGGAAGTGTGTCAAAAAATGTCTATTTCTATAGAGCAAAGAATTGCAAAATACCGATTACAGGTGATAACAAAATGAGAAGAAAATGTGTACCTAATCTTTCCTAGCATTTAAAAAAAAGTACAAAAGGGTATTGTTCAAAAGTCAGAACAAGTTATTTTTCCTCTGGACATCCTTTATGTAACTTTCCTACTCAATCAGGCAATAGCTCATTTGTCAATCGGACTGTGATAAAATGGCTGACAGAATGGCTTCCATCATTCTGCATTAACTTTGCAAAGGGTCTCAGTAAACCATAGCCGACTAAATGTTGCCTTTCTTTCCTGGTGTTGATTGAATTCCCTGTTGTACTTTTGAATACTTTTCCATCAAAATGTACATGAAACTAGGATCTTGGTTCAAGTTTGCATTCAAATCACAGCCCGTCAGAAATATACTGTAATGCCAATCAGGATCTCTTTAACTACAAAAGAGTGTCCAATTCTTTGCTTAAATGTGGGGCTGTGAGCATTTCATCTAGTTCACGGTCATTTTACAGTATTTGGTTTTATCAGTATTTTCATCTTTTTTTTAAAAAGATAGCAGCAGCTGGTTAACTCTTCCAGCTGCCCATCTTTATCTCTGCTAACGGTGGCCTTGGGTCAAGTGAACACCTAATGACCAGCTCGTGATTTCCACAGGGCAAAAGAACAAAGCAGTGCACCTATTAAATTCACAAGAAAATCCTAGAAAATACAAACAAAAATTAAATCAGAATCACCTCATCAGTTTAAAGATGCTGTCTGAAATGCTCTGCTGCTATAGCAGCTTATCTTAAAGTATCTCATGAGAAACTCAGCATTAACATGGAAGGGTGTGAAGTGTAGAATACCAATTCGTAGGGAGGTAGCAGTGCAATGGTAATGTCACTAGACTAGTCAATGCAGAACCCTAAGCTAAAATTCTGGGCACGTGGGTTCAAATGCCACCATGACAGATGGTGAAATTTGAGTTAAATAAAATCATGTACACTGGTCATGTAACCAGTGTCATTTTTAATAAAAACCCATGTTGTTCACTAATGTCCTGTAGAGAAAGAATTCTGCCAGTCTTATCTGATTTGGCCTACATGAGCCTCCAGATCCCACAACATGGGCTCCCCCACAGGATCACAAGAACAGGAGCAGGCCATTTAGGTCCTTGAGTTTTTACATTCAATGAGAAACCTTACCCTGTTGCAGGCTGATCTGCGACCTAACTCTATATACCAGCCAATACCCCAAGTCCCTTAATACTGCTGGGTAACTAAATTCTATTAATCTCAACTTTCAAATTTACAATAAACTAGCATATATTACCATTTATAGAGAGAGTTCTAAATTTTTAGCTTCCTTTTTGCATTTGTCTTTCTGAATTTTACCCCTGAAAGATCTGGCTCTAACTTTTAGACGATGCGGTCAAGTTTAAGAAATCCAATAGAAATAGTTTCTTTCTGCTGTTCCCTTAATCCACAAGATCATTAAATACAGGAGCAGAATTAGGCTATTTGGCCCATCAAGTCTGCTCCACCGTTCAATTGCAATTGATATGTTTCTCAAGCCCATTTTCCTGCCTTCTCCATTTAACCCTCAATCTTTTACAAATCAAGAACCTATCTATCTCTGTCTTAAATACACTTAGTGACTTGGCCTCCACAGGCCCCTATGGATATGTGTTCCATAGATTAACCACCTTCTGACTTCAATTCCTCCTCATCTCTGTTCTTCACTCTGAGGCTGTGCCTTCTGTTCGAATTTCTCCTACTGGTATCCATTATGTCCACTCTATCCAGGCCTCTCAGTATTCTGTAAATTTCAATGAGATAGACGCTCATCCTTCTAAACTCACTTGAGTACAAACCCAGAATTCTTAACCGCTCCTCATATGACAAGTCCTTCATCCCCGGGATCATTCTTGTAAACCTCTTCTGGAAGTCCTCCAAGGCCAGCACATCTTTCCTTAGATACAGGGTCCAAAACTGCTCACAATATTCCAAATGCAGTCTGACCAGAGTCTAATACAGCCTTAAGTAGTACATCTCTGCTATTGTACTCTAGCCCTTTTGAAACGATTGTTGACATTTCACTTGCTTTCTGTGATGATACAATGCTTTTGAGGTGTATTTTGTCCTGCTTTTCTTTTGAAGACAGGTTTTAAGAGAGGTGAAAAGCTGTCTATTTGAACCCAATAAAGTAAACAGCTTAGGAGGCCATGGGTTCTTTTGTTGAAAAACTTGGAACAACAGAAGCAGCATAGAACATAGAACATAGAATAGTACAGCACAGTACAGGCCCTTCGGCCCACGATGTTGTGCCGGTCTATTATCCTACTAAGATCAATCTACCCTGCATACCCTACATTTTACTTTCATCCATGTGCCTATCCAAGAGTCGCTTAAAAGTCTCTAAAGTATCTGATTCCACTACCACTGCCGGCAGCGCATTCCACAGGCCCACCACACTCTGTGAAAAACATACCTCTGACATCTCCGCTATACCTTCCTTCAATCACCTTAAAATTATTAACCCTCGTAATAGTCATTTCCACCCTGGGAAAAAGTCTCTGACTATTCACTATGTCTCTCATCATCTTGTATACCTCTATCAAGTCACCTCTCATCCTTCTTCGCTCCAATGAGAAAAGCCCTAGCTCCCTCAACCTTTCCTCCTAAGACTTGCCCTCCAGTCCAGGCAGCATCCTGGTAAATCTCCTCTCCACCCTCTCTAAAGCTTCCACATCTTTCCTATAATGAGGTGACCAGAACTGAACACAATATTCCAAGTGTGGTCTAACCAGAGTTTTATAGAGCTGCAGTATAACCTCATGACTCTTAAACTCAATTTCCCCTGCCAATGAAAGCCAACACACCATATGCCTTCTTAACAACCCTATCAACTTGGGTAGCAACTTTGAGGGATCTATGGACGTGGACCCCAAGATCCCTCTGTTCCTCCACACTGCCGAGAATCCTGCCATTAACCCTGTATTCTGCATTCAAATTCGACCTTCCATAATGAATCACTTCACACTTTTCTGGGTTGAATTCCATCTGCCACTTCTTTGCCCAGCTCTGCATCCTGTCAATGTCCCATTTCAACCTAAAACAGCCCTCCACACTGTCCACAACTCCACCAACCTTGGTGTCATCGGCAAACTTAATGACCCACCCTTCCACTTCCTCATCCAAGTCATTTATAAAGATCACAAACAGCAAAGGTTCCAAAACAAATACCTGTGGAACACCACTGATCACCGAGCTCCAGGCTGAATACTTTCCATCTACTACCACCCTTTTGGACAGCCAATTTTGTATCCAGACAGCCAAATTTCCATGAATCCCATGCCTCCTTACTTTCTGAATGAGCCTATCATGTGGAACCTTATCAAATGCCTTACTAAAATCCATATACACCACATCCACTGCTCTACCTTCATCAATGTGTTTTGTCACATCCTCAAAGAATTCAAAAAGGCTTGAGAGGCATGACCTGCCCCTCACAAAGCCATGCTGACTATTTCTAATCAAACTGTGCTTTTCCAAATAATCATAAATACTATCTATCAGAATCCTCTCCAATAATTTGCCCACCACAGAAGAAAGACTGACCGGTCTGTAATTTCCAGGGTTATCCCTGTTCCCTTTCTTGAACAAGGGAATGACATTTGCCACTCTCCAATCATCTGGTACTACTCCAGTGGACAGTGAGGACGCAAAGATCATTGCCAAAGGGACATCAATCTCTTCCCTCGCTTCCCGTAGTAATCTTGGGTGTATCCTTTCTGGCCCAGGGGACTTATCTATCCTCATGTTTTTTCAAAATTTCTAGCACATCCTCCTTCCTAACATCAACTTGTTCGAGCATATCTGCCTGTTTCATGCTGTCCTCACAAACGTCAAGGACACCTCACTGGTAAATACTGAAGCAAAGTATTCATTAAGGACCTTCTCTACCTCCTCGGACTCCGCGCACTAGTTCCCTCCACCATCTCTGATTGGCCCTACCCTCACTCTGGTCATCCTCTTGCTCCTCACATAAGCATAGAACGCCTTGGGGTTTTCCTTGATCCTACCTGCCAAGGTTTTCTCATACCCACTTCTAGCTCTCCTAAGTCCATTCTTCAGTTCCTTCCTGGCTACCTTGTAGACCTCTAGAGCCCTGTCCAATCCTTGCTTCCTCAACCTTAAGTAAGCTTTCTTCTTCCTCTTG